TCTCTCCGCCGCAGACATGACGAAGGGCCTTGTTTTAGGAATCTATTCCCAAGAAAAAGAAGATGGTGTGCCACCGTTCACAAGTGCAGGAGAGAATTTTGATAAATTGATAGCTGGAAAGCTGAGAGGAACTTTGAACATATCTGGACCACCTCTGAAGGCAGGCAAGACTTGAACCTTTTATGGTCTGCATCAGGACTTCCCCAGCGTGGTGCTAGTTGGCCTCAGCATAAAGGCAGGCAGAATCGACAAACAGGGAAACTGGCGTGAAGGCAAAGAAAACATCAGAGCTGCTCTTGCAGCGGGATGCAGGCAGATTTAAGACCTGGAGCTCTCTTCCGTGGAGGTGGATCCCTGTGGAGACGCTCAGGCTGCTGAGGAGGGAGCGGTGCTTGGTCTCTATGAATACGATGACCTAAAGCAAAAGAAGAAGATGGCCATGTCGGTGAAGCTCTATGGAAGTGGGGCTCAGGAGGCAGAAAGGAGTCCTGTTTGCTTGTGGGCAGAACTTGGCACGCCACTTGATGGAGACACAAGCCAACGAGATGATGCCAACCAGATTTGCTGAAATTATTGAGAAGAATCTCAAAAGTGCTAATAGTAAAACTGAGGTTCATATCAGACGCAGGTCTTGGATTGAGGAACAGGCAATGGGACCATTCCTCAGTGTGGCCAAAGGATCTGATGAGCCCCCAGTCTTCTTGGAAATTCACTACAAAGGCAGCCTCAATGCAAACGAACCACCCCTGGTGTTTGTTGGGAAAGGAATTACCTTTGACAGTGGTGGTATCTCCATCAAGGCTTCTGCAAATATGGACCTCATGAGGGCTGACATGGGAGGAGCTGCAACTATATGCTCAGGCATCGTGTCTGCTGCAAAGCTCAATTTGCCCATTAATATTACAGGTCTGGCCCCTCTTTGTGAAAATATGCCTAGCAGCAAGGTCAACAAGCTGGGGGATGTTGTTAGAGCCAGAAATGGGAAGACTATCCAGGTTGATAACACTGATGCCGAGGGGAGGCTCATACTGGCTGATGCGCTCTGTTACGTGCACATGTTTAACCCGAAGATCATCCTTAATGCCACCACCTTAACATTAAGGTGTAGCTTTGGTGTCAGGTGCCACTGGGGTCTTTACCAATTTATCCTGGCTCTGGAACAAGCTCTTTGAGGCCAGCATTGAAACAGGGGACTGCGTCTGGAGGATGCCTCTCTTCAAACATTATACAAGACAGATTGTAGATTGCCAGCTGGCGGATGTTAACAACATTGGAAAATATAGATCTGCGGGGGCATGTACAGCTGCGGCATTCCTGAAAGAATTTGTGACTCATCCTAAGTGGGCACATTTAGACACAGCAGGCATGATGACCAACAAAGATGAGGTTCCCTATCTACGGAAAGGCATGACCGGGAGGCCCACAGAACTCTCATAGAGTTCTTACTTAGTTTCAGTCAAGACAATGCTTAGTTCAGATACTCAAAAATGTCTTCACTCTGTCTTAAATTGGACAGTTGAACTTAAAAGGTTTTTGAATGAATGGATGAAAATCTTTTAAAGGAGACAAAGGATGGTATTTAAAAATGTAGAACACAATGAAATTTTTATGCCTTGATTTTTTTTTTCATTTTACACAAAGTTTAGTGTGGTGGTTTTTTTTTGTTTGTTGTTTTTTTTTTTTTTTTTGAGATGGAGTCTCGCTCTGTCGCCCAGGCTGGAGTGCAGTGGCGCCATCTCGGCTCACTGAAACCTCTGCCTCCTAGGTTCAAGTGATTCTCCCCTCTCAGCCTCTTGCATAGCTGGGACTACAGACGCCCACCACCACGCCCAGCTGATTTTTGCATTTTTAGCAGAGACGGGGTTTCACCGTGTTGGCCAGGCTGGTCTCAAACTCCTGACCTTGTGATCCACCTGCCTCGACCTCCCAAAGTGCTGGGATTACAGGTGTGAGCCACCAAGCCCAGCCAGTATGTTTTTAATTGAGAAGCAAAATTGTACTTCAGATTTGTGATGCTAGGAACATGAGCAAACTGAAAATTACTATGCACTTGTCAGAAACAACAAATCCAACTTTTTGTGCAAAAAAAAAAAAAAAAATACAGGCATTAGCTGGGCACGGTGGCGCATGCCTGTAATCCCAGCTACTTGGGAGGCTGAGGCAGAAGAATTGCTTGAACCCGGGAGGCAGAGACTGCAATGAGCTGAGATTGCACCACTGCTGACTTGGTCTCAAAAAACAAAACAAAACAGAAAAATAAAATGAAAACAAAAAGCCAAGGCTGCTTCTGCTCAATAACGTTCTATCTTTGTTCCGCCTCTTCTCTGGGGTCTCACTTCTTGGGAGCCTGTGTGGAGGTGAATTCCTCTGAAAGCTGACTGCCCCTATTTGGGACTCCCCAGTCTCTTTCTGAGAAATGGTGACATTGTTCCCAGCACTTCCTCTCCCTTCCTAGGCAGCTCCTGCAGCCACCACTGAGCCTTCCTCACATCCTCCTTCTTCAGGTTTGGGCTTTCCACCTTTCACCATTCCCCTACCCCACGCTGCTCCACCGCAGTCTGGGGAGGGGGCTGGTCTGGGTGCTCTTGTCCCCCATGCTGAGCCTCCCTCCATCCCTATGCTGCCGGCTTCCTGGGAACATGCTTGGGCAGCAGGCTGTGGCTCTGATTGGCTTTCTGACCGTCAGGAACATGTCCCAACATGTTGAGCTCTGGCATAGAAGAGGCTGGTGGCTATTTTGTCCTTGGACTGCCTGTTTTCAGGTGAGGAAGGGGATGGTAGGAGACAGGAGACCTCTAGAGACCCCAGGTAGACCTTGGCCTGTTACTCTCAATAGGGTATGTGATCTGCCGGCAGATCCTTGGGACAGGGCTGGGATCTGGTGCATGTGTGCTTGTGTGAATGTGTGCTGGGAGTCAGATTTTGTGTGTGACTTCTAACAACCTGCTCCCTTGCCTTCCTCAGGGCAGAGGTCCTCCCTTAGAGTGTGTCTGTGTACACATTCAAGTACATGGTTGCAAACTTTTTTTTTAAAGCACTGAATAGTACTAGACACTTAGTAGGTACTTAAGAAATATTGAATGTGGTGGTGGTGGTGAGCTAGAAATTATAAAAAAAAATTATTTCCCAAAAACAACAACAAAAAGAATTATTTCATTGTGAAGCTCAGTACCACAAAACTGTAAATAATTCATTATAAGCCTTTATTAAAAAAAATTTTTTCCCCCAAAGTAAACAGACAATGTCTAGTCTATTTGAAATGCCTGAAAGCAGAGGGGCTTCAAGGCAGTGGGAGGAGATGCCTATCCTCTGCTGGACATTTGACAACCCACCCTTTGGATGGTTTGGATGTATAGGAGGGAAGGTGCAGACAGCAGTGGGGCTTAGAGTGGGGTCCTGAGGCCGTGCTGTGGCCTTTCTGGGGTTTAGCCACAATCCTGGCCTGACTCTAGGACCAGGCAGGCCGAGGGGGTCTGCTGCTGTGTCCTCCCACCCCTACGGGCTCCCATTCCCACAGCAGAGGAGAAAGAAGTCTGTCCTCCCCGAGGTCAGCTGCGTTAAAGGAAGAAGACTGGGCATGTCTGGGCAGAGATTTCCAGACTCTGAGCAGCCTGAGATGTAAGTAATTGTAGCTGCTCCAAGCCTGGGTTCTGTTTTTTAGTAGGATTTCTGTTCAGATGAACAATCCACCCTCTGCAATTTTTTAAAAGCAAAACTGCAAATGTTTCAGGCTCAGAAAGGAGGCAAAGGTGAAGTCCAAGGGAGGGCAGGGGTGTGCGGTAGATGGGAGCAGATAGACTTGTCATTCATCTCTGTGTCTGTCAGAAGCACCAGTAGACACTTCCAGAGTTGTCCTTTATTTATGTCATCTCCATAAACCATCTGCAAATGAGGGTTATTTGGCATTTTTGTCATTCTGGAGCCACAGAAATAAAGGATGACACTAGACTTCTCTGAGCCCCAGTTTCCCCAGAAGCGTACAGGGGCTATGTGGGGAGTATTCAGGAGACAGACAACTCACTCGTCAAATCCTCCCCTTCCTGGCCAACAAAGCTGCTGCAACCACAGGGGCTTCGTCTGTTGAGGTGAGTGTAGGGTGTACAGAGATTGGTTCAATGTCCACTTCTTCGGTTTCCCTGGAGATCAGGTTGCCCTTTTCTGGTAGTGTCTCCAATTCCCTCCTTCCTGGAAGCATGTGACAATCAACAACTTTGTATACTTAAGTTCAGTGGACCTCAATTTCCTCATCTGTGAAATAAACGGGACTGGAAAAGCATTCCGGCCTCAAGATGCTTTGTTGGGGTGTCTAGGTGCTCCAGATGCTTCTGGGAGAGGTGACCTAGTGAGGGATCAGTGGGAATAGAGGTGATATTATAGAACTTTTCTGGAAATTACAGAGAGATGCATCGTTTTTATTATTTATGAATTTTTATTTATTAATGTCATCCTCCTGATCTTTTCAGCTGCATTGGGTAAATCCTTGCCTGCCAGGTCGGACTCCCCGACCCCCAGAGTGGGTCAACGGTGGGCCAGAAAGGGGGCTCATTCTAACAGTGCTGTGTCCTCCTGGGGAGTGCCAACTCATTCTCCAAGTAAAAAAAGCCAGATTTGTGGCTCACTTCGTGGGGAAATATGTCCAGCGCACCAACGCAGGCGAGGGACTGGGGGAGGAGGGAAGTGCCCTCCTGCAGCACGCGAGGTTCCGGACCGGCTGGCCTGCTGGAACTCGGCCAGGCTCAGCTGGCTCGGCGCTGGGCAGCCAGGAGCCCGGGCCCCGGGGAGGGCGGTCCCGGGCGGCGCGGTGGGCCGAGCGCGGGTCCCGCCTCCTTGAGGCGGGCCCGGGCGGGGCGGTGGTATATCAGGGCCGCGCTGAGCTGCGCCAGCTGAGGTGTGAGCAGCTGCCGAAGTCAGTTCCTTGTGGGGCCAGAGCTGGGCGCGGATTCGCCGAGGCACCGAGACACTCAGAGGAGGTGAGAGGGCGGCGGCAGACAACAGGGGACCCCGGGCTGGCGGCCCAGAGCCGAGCCGAGCGTGCCCGCGTGTGTCCGTGCGTGTCCACGAGGATGCGTGTTCGCGGGTGTGCGCTGCGTTCACAGGTGTTTCTGTGGCAGGTGAATGACGGGCGTGGGTCCGTGCGCGCTCGGCTTGTGCACACGGTATCTGTAAGTGCGCGGGTGACAGGGGTCGGGATGTGCCGGAGACCCCGGGCAGAGAGCGGGATTACCAGTACAGGGATCCCCGGTCACGCTCCCCGCCCCTGGAAACCCAGCTGGGGCGAGGGAGGGCGTGGACCGGACTGCTCTGAGAGCTCGCCTTTGGCTGCGGTTGGCTGCAGGCCCCAGGCGCAGTTTGCTCGCGTCCTGGGGATGAAGTCCGTGTCCCTGGAGGGGCCCAGGAGGGGCGAGGAAAGCGGAGTGGAGTAAATTCGTCTAGGATCGGTCCTAGGCGGCTCTCGGATCCAACTGGCGCCGCCCTGGCCCAGGTCCCAGGTTCAGGTCCTCTACGCCACTGTGTCCACCACCTGGCTGGGCACTGAGGTCAGCGCGGGCTGTTTCCCGGCCCTTGGGAATGTGCCAGGACACGTCCCCTAAGGACAAGCGAGGAGGTGACTCATTGTGACAAGGAGACCCCAGGGAACGGACTGTATGAGGTCAGAACCCCGCCCGGGAAGGGGTACAGTGGGACTCCCAAAGCCCTCTCCCCTGCCCTGCCGCGGTCTCCGTCCTTCCATCGGCACAGTGACCTATTTGGCTGGAACAGCTTGTTCCCAGGGAAGCAGGGCACCGGAGGTCCAGGACACCGCGTCGGGTCCCCGCTTCGCGGCGCGCCCTAGGGGTCGGGGAGTCACGACTCTGCGCTGGGCGGGCTCCAACCAGCCTGTCAGTCGGGGAAGGGCAAGGGTCTCCTCTAACTCTTTCCCACCGCGGCCGGGAGAATCACGGCCCAGCCTGCCCTCGGGTCGGGGCGCTGGACTCCGGGGCGAGAGCAGAGCCTACGCCTGGGTGGGAGGTGGTAAGGGGTCAGGTCTTTGCGGGGTGGGGATTCTGGGGGGCACGACGCTGCTCAGGGCCTCCATCAGCTGCCTCGGTGGCGCCCCGACCTAGCCCAGATTCCCTCTCGGAAAGCGACAGGGCTGAGCGGAGCAGGGGGGCGAGTCGCCCCCTGGGGCGCCGCCGCCTGGCGCGGATCACAGCGCATCCTCTCCGTCCAGAACCCCTGGGGGACACTTGCTCCCTCTTCGTGCGGAAAAGCATCTTGGAGCTGGGTTTGGAACTTGGGGCGCCCAGGCGGCTTCCCCTCTCCTTCCCTCCCTCCACGTCGCGTTTCTGGGAGGACTTGCGAGCGGTTTTGTTTTCGTTGCTCCGGTCTATTTTTATTTTCCAGGGATCTGACTCATCCCATGCTTTGGACGTGGAGATAAGGTGGAGGGGCCGGCTCCCGGCGCGCGTGTGTGTGTGTGTGCGCGCGCGCGTGTGTGTGTGCGTGTGTGTGTGTGTGTGTGTGTGTGTGTGAGAGACGGCACAAGAGCGCGCGGTTTCCCAACAGCGGCGGGAGTTTCGGAAGCCTGGCCGGCTCAGCGTGACGTGTTCGCGGCGCTCCCCCGCTGTCCCCTCCCATGCTCCCCCTCCCCACCCCAGGGTGACGCGCAGCCGGAGTGGAAGCAGAGTTTTGGCGGGCGAGCAGCGCCTTGCAGGAAACTGACTCATCACTACTCCCTCCCGCAGTCCGAGGCTCTGCCCACGCACCTCCCACCCAGCGCGTGATTTCCTGGAGGCCGGCGCCCCCTCCCGGCCCTGGCGGGAATAGCACACCGGCTTTCCCGCGGAGTGGGGCTGGCCGGCGCGAACCGCCGCGGCTACTCCGAGAATAACCCCTATGCCATTACCACCCCTTCAAAGGAGCACTCCTTAGATTCAACAGTATTTACTGAGCTCTTACTGGAAATTAAAATATGGCTGAAGTCTAAGGCAGCAAAGCCAATAAAGGAGGCTATTTTCAGTTGTTTGTAAAACACGGGTTTACGTTTCTGTTTTCTTTGGGCTGAAAGTTATTATGACAATGAGCATGAGAGCAGATTTGGATGGGGGAGAAGAGGCCTATAAGAGCCATAAGAGAAGGATGGGTGGTAGAAGAGGAGAGGGTACCTGCCTAGATCCTAGTCCTGTCTTGAGCTCCCGGGAGCCAGGGAATATCCAGCTCCTTGATGAAGCCCTAGGCGGGCTCCTCCTCCTTGTGCCTATGATGTATTGAGACCAAGAATGTCCATTTCAAACACACCAGTGTGTCCCCCTTTGGCTGGCACCCCAAGAGTGCCCATCTGAGGAACGGTGCCAAACACTTGCTTGAAACTTCAATTTGGATTAAGTTGGTCTCAAGAGGCAGGGATTTTTCAAAATCTATATTTTGAAAAAGCTCCCTGGGTGCTTCTTTCTTTTCTTTCTTTTCTTTCTTTTCTTTCTTTTCTTTCTTTCTTTCTTTCTTTCTTTCTTTCTTTCTTTCTTTCTTTCTTTCTCTCTTTCTCTCTTTCTCTCTTTCTCTCTTTCTTTCTTTTTTACAGAGTCTCACTCTTTTGCCCAGGCTGGAGTATAGTGGCATGATCTTAGCTCACTGCAACCTCCACCTGCTGGGTTCAAGCAATTCTCCTGCCGCAGCCTCCCAAGTAGCTGGGGCTACAAGTGTGCACCACCACGCCTGGCTAATTTTTGTAATTTTAGTAGAGATGGGGTTTTGCCATCTTGGCTAGGCTGGTCTTGAATCCCTGACCTCAGATGATCTGCTCGCCTTGGCCTCCTAGAGTGCTGGGATTACAGATGTGAGCCACTGCACCCAGCCACCGAGCTAATTTTTATTTACTTTTATTTTTAGTAGAGACAGGGTCTCACTGTGTTGCCCAGGCTCATCTTGGACCCTTGGGCTCAAATGATTCTCCCATCTCTGCCTCCCAGAGTGTTAGGATTACAGGCATGAGCCACTGCCCCTGGCCTCCCCAAGTGATTCTGATGGGCCTCTCTGGTTAAGAAACCTCAAAATTAGAGAGGGAGTGGGGTTCAACACTAGAGCACAGGACTCAGGGCAAACAGGCCTGGGTTCAGATCCTGGCTGTGCCACTTGTGAACTGTGTGATGTTGGGCAAGTCACTTAACTTCTCTGAGACTTGGTTGCCTCTTCTGTATAAAGGGAGCTAATAGATATCCACTTTTTAGGAGGACTGATATTTTTAAACTGCTTAGAACAGCCCCCAAACATAAAAATATATAAATAAATCCCAACTCATGCCTAGCGGAGGGTGGACAGAGGTTATTTGAGGGCTCTGTCCACTGTACTGGGTGACCCCTTTATGGGACAGTGGCCTTTGGCCTTTTTAGCTGTATGACTTAGGGGCAAGTCTCATATCTCTTCCATCTCCTGCCGTTTACACTTGGTGTGAAGTTACCAAGAGCCTCCTCTTCCAACCAGCTGGGACGTGAAACTGTGGGCTGCACTGATCACAAGCAGTGGGGTGAGGTGGGGTGGAGCAGATGTGGCATGTGTCCCGGGCTTCCTGCCTCAGGAGGACTCAGCAGAGCTTTCCCCCCCAGAGCCTGCAAGTTGGGACTTGTCCCTAGGAAAACCCAGTTGCTGCCAAGGTTGTGCAGTCACTCAGCCCTGGAGTCAAGCCAGAGCAGGCAGGTAGGTGCCAGGGCTCCCTCATGGGCAAACTCACCCTCCGTTTTCCCTCTCCTGAAGTGGGAGGAGAGGAGCCAGGTAGACCAGCCACCTTTAATTTTCTTTGCCTGCAAAACGGGTTCCTTGGACACAGGCAACACGGGGCAGAGGCTGCCAGGTGTCTAGACTTCAGATCACCTGATGTGCCTGGCAGGATGTGGCTCAGCCTGGGAGAAATCATCCCTTGCGCTGCCCCGCCCGGCCCCTCCTTACCCCTAGGCCACCCGCCTGACGACATCCTTGGGAAAGGCCCTCGGCCTACAGCACCTGTCAGCTGCTGTCTGAAGGAGGTAGTTGGCAGGGGGAAGTGATAGGGAGGAGGCTCAATAAAACTGAAGGCAGAGAGGAATAGTCATACTTCTGTTTTCCATGCACCTCTGTATACGAAGTGCTGCTGGCACGTTACCTACATTAACTCAGTTAATTCTCATGTCTATCCTCTGAGACAGTAATATCCCCATTTTATAGACAAGGAAAATAGAGCTCAGACAAGTTAAGTTGCTTGCCCAGGGTCACCTAGTAAAACCTGGACTCCAACCCAGATGATCTGAGTCCAGAGCTCTCCTGCTTAACCACCAAGACACAGCCTTTCACTCAGCTCTGTTCTGTCTGCCTTGCGCATGGACTCCCTGATCAATTGCTTGAGTATGTGTCCGTAGCCATGCTCTTTAAACTTGCACGTGGCCCATTTAAGGGTGAGGAAACTGAGACCTAGAGATATTAAGTGGTTTTTTAAAGCTTACGTAGTAACTGGCAGAGCTAGGACCACAACCCGGGTGTTTTTTGCCCCAAAGTCCAGGGTAATTTTACTTGGTCGAGCAGGGTTACCCTACTTGGGGATCTGGGTAGGGGGATTCAGGAGGCTGGAGGAACTGTCCGACTGTTTCTTCTTCTGAGAATTGACCGCCTGGCCACGGCTAGGATTAGGAAACTGCTGGACTCTGGCAATTCACATGTATTTGAGGGGCATTCACACCCATGAGGGACACCTCTGGGGGGAAAACAAATTGATTTTAGCTGAAAATACCTGGTGGCAAACAGGACCCTGGTCCTTGCTCTTGCAGTAAATTTGCCTTTGTTGACATTAGCTTGCCCTTCAGTTGCCTGCTCTGCCAGTGACCTTGGGGTGCCAGGCTGGCTGCGCTCTGCTGGTGGGGGTCAGGCCTCCTGTGGGAAGGATGCAGGAAGACCAGCTGGAAGGAACGAGAGAGACCCTCTGGTAGGAAGACGTCACCTGAGGTGACACAGCAAAGCCCGGCCAGGTAACATAGTGTCCAGTCTCCACGGTGACCAGGGCCTTCCTTGTGTCTCTGCTGCAGGCGCCATGTCAGAACAGGCTGGCAGTGTCCGTCCGAACCCATGCGGCAGCAAGGCCTGCCGCCGCCTCTTCGGCCCAGTGGACAGCGAGCAGCTGAGCCGCGACTGTGATGCACTAATGGCGGGCTGTATCCAGGAGGCCCGTGAGCGATGGAACTTCGACTTTGTCACCGAGACACCACTGGAGGGTGACTTCGCCTGGGAGCGTGTGCGGGGCCTTGGCCTGCCCAAGCTCTACCTTCCCACAGGGCCCCGGCGGGGCCGAGATGAGTTGGGAGGAGGCAGGCGGCCTGGCACCTCGCCTGCTCTGCTGCAGGGCACAGCAGAGGAAGACCATGTGGACCTGTCGCTATCTTGTACCCTTGTGCCTCGCTCAGGGGAGCAGCCTGAAGAGTCCCCAGGTGGACCTGGAGACTCTCAGGGTCGAAAACGGCGGCAGACCAGCATGACAGGTGAGGACATGTGCAGGGAAGGACGTTGTAAGGGACCAGGATTCTCAGAATCCATGGTCCAAGGGCTGACCTGTCTGGTCCTAGTCCAGAGTGCTCCTTAGGTAGAAGGAAACAGGCCCAGAGAGGGGAAGCAACCTCCCTGAGGTCACACAGCAAGCAGGCAGCAAAGACCAACTAGCTAACATTTATTGGGAATGTTCATTATGCCAGGCCCTTTGCCAAGCTTCTAAGGTAGATTTATTTAGTCCTTGTAGCAATGTTATACCATAAGACATTCTTGTCACCCTCCCCGCCGTTCTTTTTGAGACAGGTGTCTTAACTCTGTTGGCCAGACTGGAGTGCAGTGTTGTGATCATGGCTTACTGCAACTTCAAACTCCTGGGCTCAAGCGATCTTCCTGCCTCAGCCTCCTGGGTAGCTGGGAAGCTGGGACTACAGGCGCACACCACTATGCCCGCTAATGCACACCACTATGCACAACACTAATTTTTTGAGTTGGGGTAGAGACAAGGTCTCACCATGTTGCCTGGGCTGGTCTTGAACTCCTGAGCCCAAGTAATCCTCCTGCCTCAGCCTCCCAAAGTGTTGTGATTACAGGCATGAGCCACCGTGCCCGGCCCCTTGCCATCCTTTTAGGGCAAGAAAACCAGGCTCAGAGAGGTAGAGTGATTTGTCTAAGGTCTCAAAGGGAATTTGCAGTTGGGTCAGGACTGATTATAATAACAACTACTAACGTTTCTATGGGCCCGACATTGTGCTGAACACTTTCATGGATTTCATAACAGAATCCCTAGATCACCACTGTCCAGTAGAACTCTGCAGGGATGGGAGTGTCCGTCCGGTGCAGGGGCCACGAGCCACATACGGCTGTTGTGCATTTGACACACAGCTCATGTGACTGAGGAACTGAATTGTTCATTTGATTTGATTTTAGTCTGTTTAAACAAGCACACAGAGCTAGTAGTGGCTCCTCTACTGGGCAGCTTGGCTTAGAGCAGACCCATGGGTGCAGGTGTGGTGACTGACAAAATCACATCCGTGAAGCATGGTGGGACACTCCGTAAATACCCCTTAAGAGACAGAGTGAGCGTTCCCCGAGTTCTTGCTAACCTCAGCAGTCAGCCCTGTCGGCCGCAGGGAAGGGTGTCCTGGCCTCCTGCTGTCTGCCTTGGGTGGGCAGCTCTGCCGCGTCCTCTTCCTCTTGGCCTGGCTGACTTCTACTCTCTCTCCTCAGATTTCTACCACTCCAAACGCCGGCTGATCTTCTCCAAGAGGAAGCCCTAATCAGCCCACAGGAGGCCTGCAGTCCTGGAAGCGCGAGGACCTCAAAGGCCCTCTCTACATCTTCTGCCTTAGTCTTTAAGTTTGTGTGTCTTAATTATTATTTGTGTTTTAATTTAAACACCTCCTCATGTACATACCCTGGCTGCCCCCTGCCCCCCAGCCTCTGGCCTTAGAATTATTTAAACAAAAACTAAGCAGTTGAATGAGAGGTTCCTAAGAGTGCTGGGCATTTTTATTTTATGAAATACTATTTAAAGCCTCCTCATCCCATGTTCTCCATTTCCTCTCTCCTGGAGGTCGGGTGGGCCGGCTTCATGCCAGCTACTTCCTCCTCCCCACTCGTCCGCTGGGTGGTACCCTCTGGAGGGGTGTGGCTCCCTCCCCTCGTTGTCACAGGGGGTTATGAAATTCACCCCCTTTCCTGGACACTCAGAACTGAATTCTTTTTAATTTGAGAAGTAAACAGATGGCACTTTGAAGGGGCCTCACTGAGTGGGGGCATCATCAAAAACTTTGGAGTCCCCTCACCTCCTCTAAGGTTGGGCAGGGTGACCCTCAAGTGAGCACAGCCTAGGGCTGAGCTGGGGACTTGGTACCCTCCTGGCTCTTGATACCTCCCTCTGTCTTTTGAAGGCAAGGGGAAGGTGGGGTCCTGGAGCAGACCACCTCGCCTGCCCTCATGGCCCCTCTGACCTGCACTTGGGAGCCCGTCTCAGTGTTGGACCTTTTCCCTCTTTGGCTCCCCCTGTAACTTTTGAGGAGCCCCAGCTACCCTTCTTCTCCAGCTGGACTCTGCAGTTCCCCTCTGCTGCTCTCCCTCCCTCTTGTCCTTTTCCTCCAGTACCCTCTCAGCTCCAGGTGGTTCTGAGGTGCCCGTCCCACCCCCATCCCCAGCTCAATGGACTGGAAGGGGAAGGGACACACAAGAAGGGCGCCCTAGTTCTACCTCAGGCAGCTCAAGCAGCGACTCCCCCTCCTCTTTTAGCTCTGGGATGAGGGTCCTGTGTGGTGGCACAGGCCCCCTTGAGTGGGGTTATCTCTGTGTTAGGGGTGTATGCCATCATACACCCCATGGGAGTAGATCGTTCTAGGAGGGAGACACTGGCCCTTCAAATCGTCCAGCGACCTTCCTCATCCACCCCATCCCTCCCCAGTTCATTGCACTTTGATTAGCAGCTGAACAAGGAGTCAGACATTTTAAGATGGTGGCAGTAGAGGCTGTAGACAGGGCATGTCACGTGGGCTCCTATGGGGCTGGGAGTGGTTGTCTTTCCTGGCACTAACGTTGAGTCCCTGGAGGCACTGAAGTGCTTAGTGCACTTGGGGTGTTGGGGTCTGACCCCAAACACCTTCCAGCTCCTGTAACATACTGGCCTGGACTGTTTTCTCTCAATTCCCCATGTGTCCTGGTTCCCCTGTCTCTCCACCTAGACTGTAAACCTCTTGAGGGCAGGGACCACACCCTGTACTGTTCTGTGTCTTTCACAGCTCCCCACAGTGCTGAATATACAGCAGGTGCTCAATAAATGATTCTTAGTGACTTTACTTGTAACATTACTATTGTGGTCATTATACCTAATTATAAGAATAAATAAATGGGCTTTTGGGAAGAGTTTCATAATTTAAAAAATAATTTTAAAAATTAAGCATTTAAATTTAGAGAATGCAGAAAACTTAGCAAACAGAAAGACTATGCTGCAGAAAACAAACAACAACAAAACAAAAACTACTGTCACACCTCTGCAAAGATCACCACTGTCAACATTGTGGTTTGTTGTGTAATCTTTTTGTGAAGAATATATTACAGCTTAACATCATTACTCATCAGATAAATGCAAATTAAGATACCACAATAAGATACCACCATATACTTACCAGAATGACTAAAATTAAAAAGACTGACAATGCCAAGTGTTGACAAGGTTGTAGAGCAATTGGAGCTCTTATTTAAAAAACTGTTTGGGCCAGGTGCAGTGGCTCACATCCATAATCCCAGCACTTTGGGAGGCTGAGGCAGGCAGATCACTTGAGGTCAAGAGTTTGGGACCAGCCTGGCCAACATGGTGAAATCCCTGTCTCTACTAAAAATACAAAAATTAGCTGGGCATGGTGGTGCACGCTTGTAATCCCAGCTACTTGGGAGGCTGAGGTGGGAGGATCGCTTGAACCCAGGAGGCAGAAGTTGCAGTCAGCTGAGATCACACCACTGTACTCCAGCCTCTTCCAGGGTGACAGAGTGAGATTCATCTCAAATAAATAAATGAATAAATACAAACTGTTTGACAATATCTTCTAAAGATGCCTACCTTCATGGCTACCTCATGACCCAGTAATTCTATTCCTAGATCTGTTCTCAAGAGAAATGAGTTCATGTTTCCACTGAAAGACACGTAAGAATGTTCTACACAGTGACTCACACCTACAATCCCAGCACTTTGGGAGGCTGAGGCATGAGGAGGACTTGAGCCCAGGAGTTTGAGACCAGTTTGGGCAACATAGTGAGACTCTATCTCTATAAAAAAAAAAAAAAAAAATTAGCCAGGCGTGGCGGAGGGTGCCTGTAGTCCCAGCTACTTGGGAGGCTGAGGTGGGAGGATCACTTGAGGAGCTTGGGAAGTCGAGGCTGCGGTGAGCCCTGACTGTAGCACAGCACTCCAGCCTAGGCAACAGAGTGAGACCTTGTCTGTCTCTCTCAAAAAGGAAAAAAAAAGAAAAAACAAAAAGAATGTTTCCAGCAGCATTATTCTTAACAGACCCAAGCTAGAAATAACTGAAATGTCTATAACAGAATAGATATGCAAATTGTGGTATATTTGTATAGTGGAAAGTTGTCCAACATTCGAAAGAACAAGGTACTGTTACATGCATCTTCTGGTTATCTATTAATAATTAACCACCCCAAGACTGAGTGGCTTAAAACAATACTCATTTATTTGCTCCCAATACTGCAATTTGGCCCAGAACTACTTTTCAAATGTGGAATAATTCTCTGCTACACAGGGCAGAGCTTTCTGCTAGAATCATAGAGTTCTGAAACGAGACTCTCCCCGCCTGAGGGGACTTCCAGGGACTTCACACTGTCTGCTTCTCCACAGATAAAAGTCCAGGACCAGAGCATACGCTGGGGCGTGTGACCCAAGTGCTTGTCCCATAGCCTGCACCTGTTCCAGAACCCTCTCTTGCTCCGGCCACCGCTTAAACATGGCAGCTTACCAGATCATCCAATAAATGGGCTGGAGTGGTCTTTAGTACACTGCCTCTGAAATCCAAATTAAAAAGTGGTAAGAGGGGGTGAGGGGCTGGGGGAGGGATAGCATTAGGAGAAATACCTGATGTAAATGACGAGTTGATGGATGCAGCAAAACAACATGGCACATGTATACCTATGTGTCAAACCTGCACGTTGTGCACATGTACCCTAGAACTTAAAGTATAACGAAAAAAAAAAAAAAAAGAAACAAAGTGGTAAGAAGTGCAAGATACACTAAGTTGTCCTTTACCACAGAGGGAATGACCCAGCAATGCCCCAGTTTATTTGACCACTTAAAACTTTACAAATTTGATAGATCTCTAAATTGTTGTAGGGAAAGTTGATGTGAACCCCTTTTGATCCCCTTTCCTGGCATGGATTGAAAAGAACACACTTGTCGTAGTATTGGCGTCTTACCATCAGAGGCTGTGTAGACCATTATAGTAAGGATACTGTATCTGATCATGGCTGTGATTAGGGCTGCCACGTGGATAATCACCAATCACCATGCTTCAGTTGGTTTTTACAGGGGCAGTATGGGGTGGAACCAATGGAGATAATATAGGGACCACCTCAGTATCCTTTAAGTCTCTGAGGGTATCACTAATTTCTACCCACCTGGGATATGCTATTACTTCTGATTTACGACCTTGACCAGCGGGATAATTTTAGAGACTTCTACTAAGTCTTTCTTTCCATAATGGCTCTTATTCCACAGATGACAGAGAATGTGAGAATGTGGCAGAATGTGAGAGTTCTGCCATCTGTGAAGTTATGCATCCCAATTTGCACTCAAGGGCTAGGAAATAACCATAGAGTAGGTCCACCGACTCATTGGGAGATGAGCTTGGCTAGAACTCTATTTATCATCTGGCCTTCTATGGCCCCCCTCTCTAAAAGGAGGCTATAATGGCATTTTGGATCACCTGGAAGCAATGAAAGCTCAGACCTTTTATCTAACAGACCTCAAATGATCTGGTTATTCCCTGTTCCACACTGTACAGCTATTCTGGTAAATAGCCAGAGGGCACTTTCGGGAAGAATAAAGGAAACATTTATTTTATATATTTATAGTGGCATTATGGATCTTTCTCTTCCATCAGTGTGTCCTGGGTCAGAACTGGCTCAATGCTGGAAACTAGGTAAGATATTGCAATTTTCTATCTCGGCAGGTGACATCAGCCTCTGATCACTCACCCTTGATTTTTGTGGTTAAGTCAGGCAAGACTCTCATTAAATGCTCAGCTCTCTTGCCCTAGGGACTCCACTGCTGCAGAGCTCTGCAGATCAAGGAACCCTGGTCACCATTCAGGCCTTGCTGCCTGTCATTGTAATTGTGTCCACCTTGCCTCTGATGATTAAGTGGCCCTATGTGGTCTCTGCTCTTCCAGAACCTTAATGTCTCCATTGACAGTGGCCATGGCATTCCGTGGGAGTATCTCCTCCGTGAACCTGGGCTATGGAGGACAACCAGCACTGAGCTCCTTTCACTAGGCACTTCTTTATTGCTTTGCAAAAGGAAGGCCTTTTGGGCCCTCCTCTCTGAGCCTTCTAATCCCTCATTAGTACTCTTCCAAGGCTGTTTCAGCATTGCTGCCTCACTGACTGTCAGCCATCATTGTGTCTAAACCTTAAGGATCAATTCAGTAGCGTGTTAAGACCAGCTCCAGAGGTCTCGCCAGGATGTTAAATTCTGAGTCAAAAGAAGGGTCACTCCATAAAACCCTGTTTATCTAGCTTTGTATTCCTCAACTCCCTCCGGCCCCAGTCCCACATCCTCAAGATCTCCTCCTGTATGTGTTTTCCTGTTCCTACTAATATATATCAACCAGACCTGTAGTTTTTATTGTGAATAAGCTATTTCCTCCAGCAATGGGGACTATATACTTTCCTGCTTGGGCAATGGTAAGACCTGACCCTAATTACTGGTCTAGAATAGGGGTAGGCAAACCATAGTTCATGCACCAGCTGCCTGTTTTTGTATATAAAGTTTTATTGGAATGCACACACACCTATTTGTTTACCTATTGTCCATGGTTGTTTTTGCACTGTCGTTTTAAGAGCAAAAGTAGAATCGAATAGTTGCAACAGAGACCACATGGCCTGCAAGTCTAAAATATTTACTCTCTTGCCCTTTAAGAAAATGTTTTTTGATCCTGGTCTAGAGGCAGTGAAGGCAGGAGGGAAGGATCTTGAGGAAGATAAGCATCACCTTGTGAGACATCCACCTCAGGTGAGTCCTTAGCGTGGTCTTTAGGTTATGGGAGATTGTTCTCTAGTAAAGGAAGGGGTCCTTCTACAGGCCTAGAAGGCTCAAGGAAGCTGAGGGTACAAGCTTCTCAAGTGCATCTATCCAAATATCTCCATTCAAGTCCTAGTGCCCCATTCTTTCCCTATCAGAATTCTGACCCTGGGGTAGTAGGTCTGCTGAGGCTGTGCTTTTAGTCTCTCTTGAAACTTCACCCCTTTTACAATCAGATCCTGGGCCTGATTTTCAGCACAGCCTACTCTTGGGCTATGAGAGATAAGGGTCATTTAGAATGCTGTTATGGAGTTCTCCTGTCTTCACAACATACCCTGAGTTGTCTTTCTTCAAGGCTTCTAGGGCAAATAACAAAAGCCAACCAACCCCACAATCCTTATCATTACTATTGCCCTGTATCTTTCAAGTGTTAGACTTATGGCATAAGTCAATGTTGCTCCTGAAATTTTACCTGTGCCTCTTCCCAACCCACTACACACATTGTGGACATTGTGATGCTGTAGTCTGCCAAGGGTTATCACCACCTTACTCACCACCAGCATTTGGATCCACGTTGTCACTTCACTGGTGACTTCTGTTTTCAGAAGCCCATCCTGCTTCTGCCATTTCTGGAAACTGTCTTAGTCACCCCCACCACCCCCACTCCCCAAACAACTTGAGACAAGGACTTGTGTGCAGGTGGATTACCTGGGAGGTAGTCCCTGGAGGCACAGCAGGAAAGTAGAGAATGTAAGAAAGGAGAAGGTCAATAAAGGTGTCAGTGAACAAGTTCCACTGTGTGCAACTGGGGCTTAAACCTGCTAGGGAGCCTCGAGGAAACCGTGTGGAACATACCCTACAATTTTCTCTCTGGAGTACTTATCTGGCTACCTAGGCTACGTATCTGTGGACACTGTCCATCACTGATAGGGCTGCCTCCAGGGCCTAGTCCAGATTGCTCCTCACAGGGTGGAACAAATTCCTGTAATGCTGAAGAAAACCAGGGGGATGAAGACATTTGAGGTGGGAAATCATTAGCCTGCCAGGAATTATCTACCAA